GATGATATACTTGCATATAGGCAGGGGAAGAGAGGGTACAAACAGCCCAGGAGCTACAGGCGAACATCCTTTTCAGGACACCGACACCAACATTTTTTTTTTTAATAAATTGTGGGTTTTAAACTAATCAATTTACAGTCAGTAGCTTTTAACTACAAGATGGTTTAATTAGGAATCGACATTACAGCACTCCTGACATTTCCCATAGCGCTCCATGTCCGCATCTTCAGCAGCAAGAGCAGAGTTCCAATTCCAGTGGTACCAGTAACAGACTGATTGTATATCAATCTCACCTTTCCCTTGAGTGATGATCGTCGGCCAGATGCCTCGGTCACTTTTAACAGTCCTATTCTCTTCAGCCGTGTTGATCCATCTGTTGACTTTGTTTCAAAATGCCCTTACAATGTGCCTTACAAACTCATCGAGGTGCAATGATGATAACCTTGATAACCTGCCGACTACCTAAAGTAGATCAAGTTAAACTACAAGACTCCCTTTTACGCTAGTGACTAATCGAGTTAGGTTAGTTGCGTATCCTTTACAGGACGTTGCAGAACCAACCCCAGAAGCCCCTGGCTGTTGTGTGGTTTCACTAGGCAAATTTACGTCCAGTAGTTTGCCATGGCTTCCTGGACAGTCGGCTTCTTGATACCCCACTGTCGAACCACCGCAGAGGCGCATGGCCCGCAGCTGGGATCGAACCCGGCACCATGGTATTACGAAGCGTTCGCATCGACTTAGGACTAATAAAGTATATACTGCTAAACTCATATGTCGATAGACCAATCTGCATTCGGTGGGTGATAAGGTCAACATCACGCCTGGCACCTTTACCTCCCAAAACTAACTTGGTAGCAGCGAAACTTATGTCTTCTATAACCGGCCTGGTCCTTTCTGTCGTGGAGTGTGCGATGGCAATCCTGATTCTTAGTGTAGCCGGGCGGCCAAGGTAGTTGTTAATTTAGGTTTGCTGCACGTGAACTAAAATATGGCAAGCTCGAGGATCAGGTGGTATGTTCAATAGTTAGATCTGAATTTCCTCCTGTAGTCAAACTGTGTTAGATATAGATATCAGTATGTATCATAAATTGGAGATATTTGATTTCAGGTCGCTAGAAGCGAATTTTGATGTTAGATTTGTTAGCCAAAGTGCCTAGCACATGGCTTGTGTGAACACGATGTTGACTGTTACTGAATCGGTATATGTGAAGCACGTTAGTTTTGTGTTCAAGAAAATAAACAGATATTCAATGTGATTATTATAGTTCCAGATGTTTTAATTTGTAGTAGGACTTGTAGTTAGTGTGCTTAGCTTTAATATCACTATTGAGTAGACTTCATACAGAACATATCCTGTCAGGGTTAGGACATCCAGCTTTTCATACATCAGTTCACCACCAAGTGGTGCAGAACCGACCAGTCTATCTGTCTGCTCATTTCCCAACACACCGACATCACCTGGAGCAAATATCCAAAGGATGCTAACTACCCGGGACCTTTAAAGTGATGCTTGCCACTCTGCACGGATCATGTCTGTTACAAATTACCCGAGCACGTGCCTATCCCAGAGTCAACGCAGATACACCAAACCCGCTGCATAGTGAAATTAAAGAAAAAGACAGCAGCCGAAAAACAGGAAAATCGTGGATAGTGCAGGTCAAGGACATTATTACGCAGACCAGGGCTGCCAATTATGCGTTTTTACCCCCAGATCTGGGTTTTTATTTGACGCCTTCATACTTTTGAAATTCTGTCCCTCCCCCCCCCCCCCCCCCCCCCCCCCCTTTCCAAAAATATCCTTAAATAAAAGTGGGTAATTGTTTCGTTTCCTAACTATAAAATTTGTACTTTTTTTTAACAATCTGGGTTTTAATTTTGTTTTGTGTTCTTTGATAATGTATTGCTTTGGTTTTTTGTTCAGCTTACCTGGGTTTAAAAAATTTGCAGCCCTGGAGCAGACGTGTTAGCTTGAAGACGTAGAACCTGGTGAGGAATGGAACAAGTACCAATTGCGTGCTGAACGACCTTGTCTGTTGGCATCCGACTAGAGTGAAAATAGAGACAACAAAGTCTGGCCCCTGTGGAGCAGTGTTGCCACTTTTCTTTGACAAAAAATATCCAAAACGGTGTCAAAAAATATCTAAAAAGATCTGAATCTCCGTGGAAAAGATCTAGAAAAAACATCCAAATTGAAAAAGTCAAAAATTACATAGCTTCGTTATGACTTACCCTACATAATCATGTCCTCACCTTTCACTGATGTCTGCTCACAAGATCACAGGATAAACTTAGCTTGGATAATGAAGTTGAAGCTTCAGATCCAAAATGACCCTGGTATGCTTTAGCTGTTCAAATTTCTTTATGAGTGAAAAACAGTAGGCTTATTTCTCTAGTCTCATCAGGCCGAATTTCATTGGCACGATAGCATTAATAGGAGGGACATTTCATCCTGTTTTTTTAGGTTAGATTTGATATAATTCCTAGCACTGAAAACTCTTTCTACGTCAGCCTTTGAGTGGTAGTATCATGGCAGACATGACACTTTAAAGAGCTTACAGAATGGACTGTTTGATGAGGCATCTTCAAATTGTCTCACTTCACTCCAAAACGCTTTAGTTTCTGTTTTGTTTGTTCATCACTGTACAATCCATATAGTATTTCAGCTATGTAGCACTTTTCATTTTATCTTGTTATTTCAAAGTGTGTCTTCAACTTCAGTCATTGCTTCATAATTCTTTCAACAGCTGGTTAAATTGATAAGCATCTAGTTTTGCAATCTGACAGAATTTTCGGTGGTGTGGAACCATCATTCAAGGCTGTATATAATGTATTGTATTGCTGTTGTCTGACAAATGATTTGGAAAACCAGTAAAGTGTTTCAGCAATAAGGTATTCCAAATTCCTTGGTAAATATTTAGATGAAGCATGTGATAATGCTAGCTGCAATGAATGACGCATACATTTTAAAAGTATTAACGATGGGTTAGCTTCCTTCAACTTGGCATAAACGCCATTGTTTATACCAACCATCACCGAGGCATTATCCGTACCAATTACAGCAAAATTCTTCAAGCTTAACTGTTTGCTTATTAAAAGGTCCTTCAGTTCCTAAACTATACTTTCTACATCACACTTTTCAAATCGAACTAGTCCAAGATTTTTTAAAAATCGATCAAATGGTCACAGTTTGAAATTGCGCAGTGACAAATTAAAAACATTGCGACTGATACTTCAACTTTTGATGATTCATTTATCAGTATAGTTATGAAAACAGATGTCAGCGGTGTGATATCTTTAAATGAAACTGCAGTTTTATGCTTTTATAGTCTCTGCATGACTCTTTTGAGTTTTGTATTTTCGCTTCAATTTCACACTTGCAGTACTTACAAAAAGCTTTGGTCATATCCAATTTTTTTAAATTTTTTACATCATGCAACCACTATTTCCAAATTTTTTGCTTATACTTTACTTTTGGCATGTTGAAAGGTTTTTTCAAAGTGAAAGCCACATAAGAAGGTGAGCAATTATTTTTTTTAAATCACATGAAAAAGAAACGCAAATTCAGCACAGTGAGGAAACAAAGTTAGTATGATTTACGCGCGTTTTTATTGATCAGTACCGGGGCTGCCAGATATTTGAGCCTTGACCTCAGTGAGAGTTCAAAGTTCAAATATTGGCAGTTGTCACAATGTACGTGCCAGACCAAAACAAAAATATTGTAGTAAATATTTTACACAGTAATTATTAAATTGACAATGAAAGAAAAAAAATCTAAAAAATATCTAACTCAATATGAAAAGAATCTAGAAAAATATTTACGATCTAGCCTTCATCAGCACATAAAGAACAACACAGCACACATACACAAATAAGTACTAGCCTATATATCGCTAACGCGCGAACGGGAAGCGAAAAAATGGGTTGTCATACCTGCTTTGGAAATGGGCGGAGAAGACACAGATACAACAGCGTACACTGAGTGTCTAAAGGGCGAGGGAGGGGTTGGCCAAAGTGGCGTAACCAGGGTTGGGTCGTGGAAATGGCACCAGTACATCCGCATGGAATACAAGTGGTGCCTGTGCTAGCGAACAAATACCAACCGACAGACAGGCATGCTGATAGATAGATAGATAGATAGATAGATAGATAGATAGATAGATAGATAGATAGATAGATAGATAGATAGATAGATAGATAGATAGATAGATAGATAGATAGATAGATAGATAGATAGATATATAGATAGATAGATATATAGATAGATAGATAGATAGATAGATAGATAGATAGATAGATAGATAGATAGATAGATAGATAGATAGATAGATAGATAGATAGATAGATAGATAGATAGACAGATAGATAGATAGATAGATAGATAGATAGATAGATAGATAATAGAGGGCTGCCTGACAAAAACTCGGTCTCCTGTCAGCTGTCGTGCTGGTATCATGCCTTCTGCTGTTATTCTTTCCAATCAGCCATGGCGTTATTCCACATTCTGAGACAAGATGCTCTTCACTAGCCATTTCTCCTTGAGGGCCTACACTCTACTGGGTGGTAAAGAGAGAAAACAAAATTCAAGCCTGAGCACCTGAGTTCAATAATTTCGAAACTTCAAGTCACAAACGAATGACAGCAAATATCTATAAATAATTCTCTTGTTATAGCAGCTAGGGACCGTTCATTTATCTCTTTGAGAGAAACTTAATGCAAACAATCACAGAGGCCTATTCATAAAAAGGTCGTAAATAAGTTAAATCTATCAATATTTTAATTGTAAAATGATAAATACGAAACCGCTAAAATAGTTTTTATATTTACAATATCATTGTTACTTACTAACAAAAAACAATGCTTTCCTCCCTGTCCGGAAACAAGGTAGATTGAAGCGTAAAAAAAATTTCGTCTAGACGGAGAATAGAGTCTTGTGGAAGCTATTTTCATTTGTTGTTTTTGTTGTTTTGTTGTTGTTTCCTGCCCACCCGAAGTTTATCAAAATGAATCGCTTATTTGGAAGATCAAAGCCCAACGAACCACCACCTAACCTGACCGACTGTATTTCTAATGTAAGTAAAAAAAAGTACAATGAAAATTCAATTTAATTATTTTAATTATTTTAAATATTTAAATTTTATAATTTTTATTTCAGTGATGTTTAATGTTTTGTATGTACACATTAATTTTTATTTATAGGGATACTAGTGAAGTAAACAGCTGAGTATAGATTAAAATATCCAGTTCAACGATACCTCTTTTAATCCGGTACTGTAAGTAATTTCGGTTATCCTCCGAATAACGGTCCTAAATTATCGAGGCCGAAGATATACCCTAACAGGGCCTCAGTCACATGTCAATACAGGACTTCCAGCGACTTAAATTGCGGACTTCCGGCAACTACCGCCACCACCGAGAGTATCTGGGGCTAAACTAGATGGCTGGGACCCACGAGCAGCAGCTCCCTTATCTCCTGCAGCTTCCTTCATTTTATTTGCTTGTGAGTCCCAGCCATCTAGTTTAGCCGCGCGTAGCGGCGAGGGAGATACTCTCGGCGGTGGCGGTAGTCGCCGGAATTCTTATAATTTTTGACCGTTATTCGGAGTATAGCCAACATTTTAGTGACGGATACCACCACAGACACATTATAGTGTAACCTGACAAAAGCTGGATTCCGAAAAAAAATGTAGGGTTTAAATGACTAAATGTTTGCATTTTATGGCAATAACTACATTAAAAAAAATAAATCCCTTAGCGACTGTTACTGCAGTCGGGCTGTGAGGTCTAACTGTATATCATATACTATATGCATTTCTAAAATACAAATAATAATATTAGAACCCTTTTCCACGCCTTTAGGCGAATTGGGAATATGGGGCTAGACCTATATTTTTATAGACCAATCAGCATTTGATGGGTGATGTGGTTAGCATCACACCAGCCGCCTTTACTTCCCGGGACTGCACCTGGTACCCACACAAGACTGGGTTGATTTGGTAATCAAAGTCATTTTTTTGAAAAAAAGTCAGGCACTGTCAATATTTTTAAGATAAGACTGTAAATATGCAGAGTTTTTTGCCAGTGAGCCTGGTAGGATTTACACAGTATTGCGGACCACAAAAAAAAAAAAAAATAACACCAGTGCAGATATCAGCCGATGTGAGGTAATTAACATATAAATCTACTCACTATTTTAACTCTTTGAGGCCTGATTTTTGCGTACGATTCCATTCCCTATTTGTTTCTTATGTTCGGAACTACCAATAGAGTATTCAGGGAAGGCTACTTTAACGTTTTTCTTTATAAACAATTCTTTGTTCTCACAATTTTGGGTGCAAACTGATCCAATTCATTGCTAACGTGATTTTCAGACAGTGCATTTTCTGATTTTGTGTTCAAGTGGCCATGGTTACTAATGTTCCAAACTCAAGCACAGGCTGAAAAAATGTAGCTACTTTAGTGAAATTTTTTAAATGCCCTCTACACCAATAAAACCAGCACAGTTAGATAGCTGTAAACAATTTCTTTCCAATGGTACCTCATTTAGGCTTGTATGTCATTTCTGAGCTGAGATATGTAGGTTTTGTGGAGATGAGATGTAAGAAACAGCTGCTAAAACTTGTGACCCAGAAACAAGAAGTTTTTTACTGCGCAACCTACTGCGCAGTTCTGTATCGGCTTTGTTTACATTGGACTGTCATTGGACAAGATAGCAGGCAATGAGACACAGCCACTGGCTGAGCCAGCGATTGCCTGAAAAATGTCACTGTACATCTACCTAGCCACCGTCCAGAAAGAAATTTTATACACAAATGTAAAATTGGACGGAGAATTCAAATATACCTAGCAATACCAGGACGAGTAACAGTTAAAGCCTAAAGCCAACCTCGAATTTACCGCTATTTTTAATCAAACTGATGACTAACAGAAAAACAGAGGACGTCCGGCTGTCGTAGACATGCGCTGTTAATCGGGTTCCCCCACGCTGTTTTCAGCTATTTATAGCTGGTCCAAATTCCCACCAATGGCAAAATTTCATGAGAGATTTGGACCCATACGGAAACCAGCCGAGATTTCCCGAACAAGTTCTGAACGGTTTCCGGGTAACGGAAATTGCCGAAAAGACCGCAAATTGTCGAAACTGTAGTCCCTAAAAAATGCGCCCTTCTGAACCTGAAGCTCTGAAATTGTTTCACTCAGATGTTTTTTAATAATAACAAATTGCAATTTTTCAGAAAGCGATGCGGACAGTAAATTTACACCAGCGGCAGTTGAGCGGTCAGCTGTTTGTTCTGATGAGGTGAATCCAGGGGGAATCATTTCGGCTATTCTCCGAATAACGGTCGTAAATTATCGAGGCCGAAAATATACCCTAACAGGGCCTCAGTCACGTGTCAATTGCGCACTTCCGTCATCTTAAAATGCACGCTTAAGGCGACTTCCGCCACCGCCGACTTGCAAACTTTCGGCAAATTCCGCCACCGCCGAGAGTGTCCCCCACGCGGCTCATGGGGATAAGCTAGATGGCTAGGACTCACAAGCAGCAGCTACCGCATCTCCTGCAGCTTCCTTCATTTTATTTGCTTGTGAGTCCTAGCCATCTAGTTTAGCCCCAATCCACGCCGTTCACGCGGCGTGGGGGACACTCTCAGGGGTGGCGGAAATTGCCGGAAGTTTGCAATTCGGCGGTGGCGTTATAGTACCCGGAAGTGCGCAATTGACACGTGACTGAGGCCCTGTTAGGGTATATTTGCCGCCTCGATAATTTACGACCGTTATTCAGAGGATAGCCGTCATTTCATTTGCGAAGGATGTGAGAGTTACCACATTTGCACACAAGAAACGGACTTGTTCACATGCACATCTTGTTTGCATGTCAGCTAACTGAATTTGTAAAAAAAAATTTCAGATTGACAGCAGAGGGGAATCAATTGACAAGAAGATCTCCCGGCTAGAGGCTGAGCTGAAAAAGTACAAGGATCAGATGAAGAAGATGAGGGAGGGCCCTGCCAAAGTAGGTTGTTTTCCAGTAGTTTGTATATTAGGCCTGAGTTTTTATCCAGGTTTATCATACACCCGAACCCACAACTGCTGGGTTTTTTGTTTGTTTCTCTTTTTGAATTTTCCATAGTTGATTGCTTTTTGTTGCTTTTGTTTTTACGTGTTGAGGTAGGCAACCTCAAGCCTAACCCTACCTTTAATGGCCTCTTACGACATGCCTGGTAGGGTGCAATGTTAATATTCTTCTCTTCCCATAATGGCCCCGGTGACACACTATAAACCTACATCATCTCTTTCTGCATCTATGAGGCTTGAGCTTTCTGCATGATGATGTTCCGTAATGTACGCAGAAGTAGTATCCTTGTTAACATTTGCCTCCTCTTGCATTTCAAACCAATCGTTGCACTTTGATAACATTATTTCTACTTCTGAGTGGCTAGTTGGTAGGCTTTTAATTTTTAGATGGTGACGGGTGACAAAAACGGACGGTTAAACGAGTGACAGTGATAGAAAAAAAATGCAGCCTTTCTTGGGTATTGTACTCAAGTTCTCTCCATGTGGGTTCCAGTGTTCATTTTGGGGAAAACAAGAATAGACCCACTGCCTCCCCAACTAGCATGTCGTAGGAGTCCTATGGGAACATCCTTCAAAGTTGGAGTACATCTGCCTTAGAGGCAAGGAACCAGTAGTCCGCATACAGATAAGCCAGATCTGTGAAACAGATGTGCATGGAATACTAAGGTTCTGGGACAAGACTGAAGTCTAGAGTTGGACGAACACCCAGAACTTGTCACCAGTTTTTACAGCCAGTGAAGGTGAAGCAGAAGTACTTAGGTTCATGACTTGATGGAAAGAGGGGTTTGACTGCTTGTGCCTCATATTGTCCATACCACATGGCTTTGTTGATCATGCACCTGTCATGTGGAGTGTCAATCATTTCTGATGGTTTTTCCCATGCCATGTTTTTGTCCAACATTTTCTGTCTGGATCTCTTTTGGCTTCCCTACCCTTCTTCCAACTTTCCTGGTGTCTCAAAGTTCTCTTGTTATCCCTTTCTTAGGAAATGCCCAAAGAATGTAACTTGTCTCCTTCTGAAGAGGAAAATCAGTTCTCTTTCTGAGTTTTGTTTTAACCCTTTCAGTAATAGATGACTCACCAAATGGTTCTGAGTCATTCTTAAGACTGTATGATGTTCATGTTGTTTTCTTTTTGTCTTCTGTCACAGATTAATTTTATATTAACCATTAGTGTTTCAGCTATTAGTTTCACTACTGTTTTCCTGAAGGAGGCACTGTGGTGTAGCGGCTAGATGCTGGCTGTGTATCTGAAAGTCATCAGTTCAGATCCAAACAAAGCTGAACTTTAAAAAAAAAATGCCCTTGGTTCCCAGGTTTATCATTATCATCCTCTGTGTGCTGTTAGATGTCACATAGGGCTCACATTTAATTCCTCCACTCCGCTTTATTGCGTGCAGCTCTCTGTATTTCTGACATGGCTCCCAGTTTCACCCAGTCTTAAACTGGCACCATATAAAGTCTTGGGAAGTAAAGGTTCAGATTTTGTTGACCACATCACCCACTGAGTGCTGATTTGTCTATAAAACATAGGTCTAGCCCTATATGCCTAGTACACCTGAGGACGTAGAAAAGGGTCTCTACATCTGTCCTCTAGTGTTATCGGTTGATCTTCTTCAGGCATACAAATGTGTTGCTCTTAAGCTGAAGTACCTGAGATAAAAGGAGTTAAAGTAATATTTACTTGGTACGGATAGAGTTAAACTTCCAGTCCAAAATGGGGGAGGCAGAATGTTACGCTTCGGGTTGTTTTTGCTTCCGACAGCGCTTTGCTAGTGCAATTTTCACATGGGGACAGTAAACAGTTTCACTACCTCAACTACTTTTAGTGCTTGGTGCAGCCCTGCAAGCTGTATTTTACCTGCGGAATGCCTTTCATTTGTGCAGTGGTTATGTCATGGTGTTCAATATGGCTGGTAGCCAGTTCACGTGTGAGCTGGTGGAATACCTTATGCAGTAATTCTACAAGTGTATGGCCAATTTGTCGTGACGGACTATGTCCATCAACGATAGACTGCATATCTCGTGGCTACTGTTAGTTTTTGGCGCCTCTGGCAACTGACATTTTCATTTGCTGCTTGGGCATATTTCTGGATTGTTCCGAAACCAGTTGTATGTTCACCAATTTTTTCAAACGCGAGTGAGGGACATTTAATTTGATTTGCACTGGCACAAGAATGGAGCAAGTTTGGGGAAACCTGATTGCAGTGATGCTGAAACCTCGACTAAGACTAAAAGTGCAACTGCTTCATGACACTTATATCTATCTGACTATGGTGTTGACATCATTCGACTATACAAAATTAATCTCTTCATTTATGTAAATGACAAAAACTTTTTCCTCAGAACCAAGTTAAACAGAAAGCAATGAGGGTACTCAAGCAGAAACGCATGTAAGTTTTATCAGTCAGTGCTGTCTTCACAATGAAGGTTGCCAGCAGTTTATCTCCAGCTCTCTCTATCTCTTGTCCTAGTTGTACACTGTGAGGCTGTTTTTCACCCACCTCTTGATTTTCCTCCCATTTGTATCGCTGTCTGCATCTTGCCTGAATATTTCTCTCTTTTGTATTTATGAGAGGATTATGCTTCTTTAATGGCTAAAACATTTTGCTTGTGCCTTTTTTTTTCCTGTCAGCTACTCATGTTATTACTAATCTCTTCAGATCCTCAGTGTTTGAATGCCGGGAAGGCTAACCCGGTCAACAAATGCCCACAGAAGTCGGATGTGTTGGCCAAAAGTTGCAAATATCGCAGCCATGCTGTAAACGGACACAACACAATTACATCTTCGGATGAACGCAGAAGAAGAAGAAGAAGTATTTGATTGTTTGCTTAAAAACTTGTATAAAATGGAATTAATTTAGGAGGGGTGAAAAAATAAGAGAAATGTCTGGGCAACCGCTAGTATCAACCGTTAAAAGACAGAGAAGATGACGTTATATTCGAGGCATCCTGAGAAGAAGCAAGCAAGTAATTACCACACAGGCACTAACAAGGAAAATAAGGGAATCAAGGAGGAGAGGACTTTCAAAAGAAATCCTAAAACAAACGTTGAGAGAGGCCAAAGGTGCTGGACTGGATTCCATCCAAAATATTGAATTGATTGCACAGTGTAAAATGGAGTAGGGGAATAGACTGCCAGCCCCGTGTGACATTTAATGACACATCGGGACAATGTAGATGTAGATTTGTAATGCCTCAGTTTGTAAAATTGATTACTGGTTTCATTGAAAGACCTGTGGATCGGAAGGTTGTGGGTTCGCTCCCTGGTGGGGGCTGGAATTTTTTTCAAAAATGACCTTCGCTCCAAGGTCGACCCAGATATATTTACAGTGCCAGGCTATTGTTGTGATAGGGTGAGGTTTGTACTGTGACAGAGCGAAGCTTGTATGATGCAGATATAGTTACAATGCCAGGCATCTGTTGTGACAGTGTGAGGCTTGTACTGTGACAGAGCGAAGCTTGTATGATGCAGATATATTTACAATGCCAGGCTTTTGTTGTGACAGGGTGAGGTTTGTACTGTGACAGAGCAAAGCTTGTATGATGCAGATATATTTACAATGCCAGGCTTCTGTTGTGACAGGGTGAGGTTTGTACTGTGACAGAGGGAAGCTTGTTTGTATGATGCAGATATATTTACAATGCCAGGCTTTTGTTGTGACAGGGTGAGGCTTGTACTGTGACAGAGCGAAGCTTGTATGATGCAGATATAGTTACAATGCCAGGCTTCTGTTGTGACAGCGTGAGGCTTGTACTGTGACAGAGCGAAGCTTGTATGATGCAGATATAGTTACTATGCCAGGCTTCTGTTGTGACAGCGTGAGGCTTGTACTGTGACAGAGCGAAGCTTGTATGATGCAGATATAGTTACTATGCCAGGCTATTGTTGTGATAGGGTGAGGCTTGTACTGTGACAGAGCGAAGCTTGCATGATGCAGATATATTTACAATGCCCGGCTTCTGTTGTGACAGCGTGAGGCTTGTACTGTGACACAACAAAGCTTGCATGATGCAGATATATTTACAATGCCAGGCTTCTGTTGTGACAGCGTAAGGCTTGTACTGTGACACAACAAAGCTTGCATGATGCAGATATATTTACAATGCCAGGCTTCTGTTGTGACAGCGTGAGGCTTGTTTTGTGACAGAGAGAAGCTTGTATGATGCAGATATATTTACAATGCCAGGTGTTTATTATTTCACTGAGAACTATTACACAATTATTTGTCTGTCACAGGTATGAAAACCAGCGAGATCAACTGAGCCAGCAGTCATTCAATTTAGAACAACAGAATTTTGCAATCCAGAGCTTGAAGGATACAAAGACAACAGTATGTATGATCACTTAAAATTAGATATTTTGCTATGTGGTTTTATATTATCACAATCGATGCCACTGTACGTTGGGCATTTCCATGTTGTGCTGTCCTTGGATTCAGCATCCACTCCAAGGTATCTTCTCCCTCTGAGGGTATCATGGCCCCATTCTCATAGAAGAAAGAATAGACCCATCGCCCCTCAACAAGCATGCCGTAAAAGGCAACTAATTAAGGGTGTTTTCTTCAAAGTTGGAGTAGATATGTCTAAAAGGAAAGGAACCAACAGTTTGCATACAAATAAGCAAGCCAGATATGTAAAACAGATGTGCATACAAAACTCGGGTTCTGGAATAAGACCAAAGTCCAGAAGTATATCTCTTCTCGTCATCCCGTAACACTTTGTGTCGTTGGGGTCACCAGTGTCTGTTGACTGTCTGATCAAATCCCTCTTACCTTTGGTGGTCAGTTGCGATAGACTTTATGGTTGCATGTCTGAGGCCTGTCCAGTCAGTCAGGTTCTGTAACCAGGTCTTTCTTGGTCTGCCTCTTCTCCTCTTTCCCTCTACTGAACACTGCAGTATTGTTTTTGAGAGGCTGTTAGGTCTTATTATAAGTCGTACCATTGCATTTTCGCCTCTTCACTCTAGTTAAAAGATGTTCATTGTTGCCAATGTGCGGATCTCTTGGTTTTGTAATGTGGTCTCTGTATGATATGCCAAGAATTTTTCTGAAACATCACATTTCTAATGCTTGAATCTTTCTCTCAAGTTCAGCTTTTAAGGTCCTCATTTCATTCACAACTATATGTAAAGGTAAAGGTAAAGTCGGGAGATGTGAACCAGCATCATTGCACACGGTTATAAACCATAAGTGCTCTGCCACCAGTACAGATAGCTGATAAGAATTGTCCGCCTGTGTCGCTGTCCGCGTGTAACTCTGTAGCTACAGCGATGTTCCTCCATTTACCCCAGAGTATCGCTCTGGTACCCATTTCCTAGAGGCTGGGTGAACCCGGGAGCGGCCCGGTTTTGAACACCAACCGTGGGCTGCAGCGAGTCGCAGCTGGATTTGAAAGTGAGCTTCTTATCGACTGCGCTAACGCAATGTACTTATAGCTAGTGCTCCAGAAGTATATGGACAATTAGAACTTTCCACAGGAGTGTACAGCCGGTGAACACTAAGAAAAAGTATCTACCTCTGCTGATTGTGTTGTATGTGTTTTGTTCAGTGCAGTGTTGTATGTACTTTGTTCAGTGCAGTGTTGTATGTACTTTGTACAGTGCAGTGTTGTACGTACTTTGTTCAGTGCAGTGTTGTATGTGTTTTGTTCAGTGCAGTGTTGTATGTGTTTTGTTCAGTGCAGTGTTGTATGTGTTTTGTTCAGTGCAGTGTTGTACATACTTTGTTCAGTGCAGTGTTGTATGTGTTTTGTTCAGTGCAGTGTTGTATGTACTTTGTTCAGTGCAGTGTTGTATGTACTTTGTTCAGTGCAGTGTTGTACGTACTTTGTTCAGTGCAGTGTTGTATGTGTTTTGTTCAGTGCAGTGTTGTATGTACTTTGTTCAGTGCAGTGTTGTATGTACTTTGTTCAGTGCAGTGTTGTATGTACTTTGTTCAGTGCAGTGTTGTATGTACTTTGTACAGTGCAGTGTTGTACGTACTTTGTTCAGTGCAGTGTTGTATGTACTTTGTTCAGTTCAGTGTTGTATGTACTTTGTACAGTGCAGTGTTGTACGTACTTTGTTCAGTGCAGTGTTGTATGTACTTTGTTCAGTGCAGTGTTGTACGTACTTTGTTCAGTGCAGTGTTGTATGTACTTTGTACAGTGCAGTGTTGTACGTACTTTGTTCAGTGCAGTGTTGTACGTACTTTGTTCAGTGCAGTGTTGTATGTACTTTGTACAGTGCAGTGTTGTACGTACTTTGTTCAGTGCAGTGTTGTACGTGCTTTGTTCAGTGCAGTGTTGTATGTACTTTGTTCAGTGCAGTGTTGTACGTACTTTGTTCAGTGCAGTGTTGTACGTACTTTGTTCAGTGCAGTGTTGTACGTGCTTTGTTCAGTGCAGTGTTGTATGTACTTTGTTCAGTGCAGTGCTGTATGTACTTTGTTCTTTGGGAGTGTCCTGCTTTGTTGTTTGCTTTCTGCGTTGTCTTGCATTTACGTTTTCATTCAGAGAAAGAGAATGCCTGTGTCATAGGTTGCAGCAGTCTCCAGGGGGTTGTGTTGAGGCCAGTTTATCCATGTTTTTGGAGTGTTAAAAGAGCTGACGTGTGAAAAATACAACATGTGATATCAGTGGCATTGTGAAACACCCCCTTAACCTTATGCCAAGGTGACAGGTTCAGGAACTACCAATCAGAAGTGAGCTAGTGTTTATATGGGCAGGGGCGTGGACGATACTTTAGCCAATGTTCTTTTTCCTTTTCTTCGCTTTCTCCAGTTATTTCATCACAGTATGTGAGGGGAAAAGGGAGGGGGGAGGGGGGTGTAAGGATCTTCTCTTTGCTCTTTCCAATGCATTGTGTAAGCTGGTCTTTATTTCTTTAAGGTTGTTCTTGATGCTATTGTTCCATCTTCTTCTGTGTTGTCTTTCCCTTTTTGTGGCAATTGGTACCTGGGCATTCTCATCAGGTAGCCAGACCAGTTCATCTGTTACAGGTTAGAATCTTAAATTTTTTGCCTTCAACAACAACAAAAAATCAAAATTTTCCAGCATCTTAAAGAGGATTTAGACCTAGGCCTTTCAGAAGAGAGCCAGACATATAACCACTTGGCCAGCCACTCTTCAACACATTAAATCTAGTTTAAGATATTGTCCAACTGTAATCATCAGTAACTATCATCATCATGTGCCTTACTAGGTGGCAAGTATGTTTGTTTCCACAGATCTTGATTTTGTTCTAGAATTATTATTTACATTTTCACTCGATATTTTGTTTAGGTCGATGCAATGAAAATTGGAGTGAAAGACTTCAAGAAAGCCTACAAGCATGTTAACTTAGATCATATAGAAGTAAGTACAGTACATGTTTGCTTTGAGTAGTAAGATGTTTGGAAATGGTTGAAGAGTGGATGGAAACAGGAGGCATGGGGTATTGATAAGCTATGTATGTTTGGGTGACGTTCATATTGAGGTTAGAGTTTGAAGATTAAGATTTGGGGGTTGTGGTTTGAAGTTGAAAGGTTTAGGGATTTTTTTTTTTTTTATGTTGTACCCTTTAGGTTATGGTTTTAAGTTGTAAGGTTTGGGATTCTGGTCTTAGGTTTTAAGGTTTGGTATTGTGATTTTCAGTTGTAACGTTGAGGTTGTAGTTTTTAATTTAAAGTTCCATGTTTAAGGGTTGTGGTTTTAAATTGTAAGTTCTAAAGTTAGTGATTGTTGTTTTAAATTTCAAGGTTAGGGGTTGTGGTTTTAAGTTTAAAATTGTAAGATTTTGGGTTGTGGTTTTAAGTGTTAAGTTGAAAGGTTTGGGATTGTGGTTTTAAGTGTTAAGGTGAAAGATTTGGGGTTGTGGTTTTAGGTTTTAAGGTGTAAGATTTGGGATTGTGGTTTTAAGTGTTAAGGTGAAAGATTTGGGGTTGTGGTTTTAGGTTTTAAGGTGTAAGATTTGGGATTGTGGTTTTAAGTGTTAAGGTGTAAGATTTGGGGTTGTGGTTCTAGATTTTAAGGTGTAAGATTTGGGGTTGTGGTTTTAAGTGTTAAGCTGAAAGATTCGGGGTTGTGCTTTAAGGTTTTAAGTTGTAAAAAATACTTGTTGGAAAAAAGACCTTCGGCCCCTCCCACAACGAGCATCTTGTAAAAGGCGAGTAATTAGGGATTTGCTGAAATTTGATGTGTTGAGTTGAAAGGTGCATATATCGCAGCCTAGCTGTAAACCACAGCACAATGTACTAGCTGCTCTCTTGAGGGTGAATGCAAAAGAAGTATCACTTTACACTCGCTGCAAGTGAATTGTTCATGTTTTCAACACGTCTGACTGCAGAACATGCAAGATGAGCTGGAGGATTTGATGGAACAAACCAATGACATTCAAGAGGTCATGGGTCGCAGCTACGGGATGCCAGAGCTTGATGATGATGAGCTCGAGGCAGAGTTGAATGCCCTTGGAGATGAGCTGTTGGATGAGGACTCCTCATATCTTGATGATGCAGTCACTGCTCCGTCAGCGCCCACCAGTGAACCTGGTGCAGAGAGTAGTCGGGTGAGTACGGGTTCATTCTTTCCCTTTTTAAAAAAAAAATAATTATTTTAAACATTCTTTTTTATTTCTACATTCGTTCTGATAGCATTATGCTGCTAATCTGAAATCTTGAATATTTAACTCTAATGTCAATTAGAGACCTGGACACTTACTAAATAAGCGGAACAGCACATAAATGCATTTGAATATAAATGTTACAGACAGGTTCTAAGAATATCTTGGGTGAAGAAAAGAACAAATGCATCCATACTTCAAGAGCTGAATATTGAAGAGGGTTGGCTAGTAAAGACAATAAAACAAAGAAAATTGAAATATTTTGGTCACTTGAAATGTCATGGAAGTCTAGAGAGAACAATAATGGAGGGGTATATGCCTGGGAAGAGAGGAAGAGGAAGGCCAAGGAGAAGATGGGTGCAGGATGTGGCAGATGATCTCCAGATGGGTGTATCAGACGCAGGACATCTTGCTCAGGATAGGAAGGTTTTCCGGAGGGTTGTTATGGCAGCGAGGTTCTGCGAGGGACATGCTACTGAATGAATGAATGAATGAATGAATGAATGAATGTCAATTCATTACTGAGATAGGGATAACAAACAAATTTCAAGCATTCATTAACTGGTTCCTTTGGGGAATACAATTGTGCGGCAGAATGTTAAACGCAGATAAAGTTAAATTTGGTTCTTCTTTGTCCTACACCTCCGCCTCCTGCTTCTTTCTTTCTTTCTTTCTTTCTTTCTTTCTTTCTTTCTTTCTTTCTTTCTTTCTTTCTTTCTTTCTTTCTTTCTTTCTTTCTTTCTTTCTTTCTTTCTTTCTTTCTTTCTTTCTTTCTTTCTTTCTTTCTTTCTTTCTTTCTTTCTTTCTTTCTTTCTTTCTTTCTCTCTCTCTCTCTCTCTCTCTCTCTCTCTCTCTCTTTCTTTCTTTCTTTCTTTCTTTCTTTCTTTCTTTCTTTTTTCTTTCTTTCTTTCTTTCTCATTGTATAATCATTGACACCTAGTGCTACATCTGAGTCTATCAGGTAAGAGTTGGTCTGTGATAGCCTACCATCATACTTGAATTGCTTTGAATGTCTTGCAGTCTCACATCAGTCCTGGAAAGGCTTTCTCACACTTAAAACCATGACTGACCATATTTTCTTGAGACTGTTTCTGAGGCTTCCCTCTAATCAGAGTACAGTTTTCATCTGTTCAAAACCTCAAACCTAGTATCCACTGTTAACAAACAGAGAAGATGGCCCTATATTGGACACATTCTGAGAAAAGATGAGCAGATAATCACCAGACAGGCAATGAAATGGGAAATAAAAAGATTTTTTAAAAACGACGTTCAGGAGAAACCGTAAAGTGAGTGTTGATGAGGTTTGAGATTTTGAACATGAGATCAACATCATGGCACACAGGTAGTAACCCTTAAGTGCTCAGTTTTTTTTCTAACTAAAGTCTAAGTCCGAAGAAGCTTAGCACAGTGCATGGGTCATGTAGCACCGGCTAGGATCCTGAAATACTTTGGGTAGATTTGTAACTCCAAATCTTGCCCGGGCAGCACTGTGGGGCTACTCTTTTCGATTTCCAAATGCCAAGGTGTTTTTTTTACGTGGGCAACAATGCACACGGGCATCCATTCTCACTACCCAGAGACCAAGGGGAATTACTAAAAGTCCAAGTCCAGGTGAAAACATCCCAGCCCTTACCGGGGATTGAACCTGGAACCTCTAGCACTTGAGGCGGACAGCATGCCTCAAGACCACACAGCCCTCCTGAGTGTTAATGAGAGAAGCCAAAGGCGCTAGACCAGATTCCATTCAGGATTTCAAAATGATTACACAGGATAGAACAATGGAGACATAGCCTGTAAACTCTGCGTGACGTATAATGGCACGATAGAACAATACATGAATGCCTACATCTTGTTATAGGCATACAAAGGTTAGTTGCGTATCCTTTACAGGACGTTGCAGAACCAACCCCAACAGCTCCTGGCCATTGTGTGGTTTTTCTAGGCAAATTTACTTCCAATAGTTTGCTATTACTTTCTGGACAGTCGGCTTTCTTTATACCACTGTCGAAACCAACGCAAGGCGCATGGCCCGCAGCTGGGATCGAACCCGGCATCCCGGCATTACAAAGGGTTCGTTCGCATCGACTTAGTCACAGAGCCGACTATAGGCATACAAATGAGATAATTTTGTGTTTCTTTCACAGAGTGACATCCCAGTAGATGAATTTGGCCTCCCACAAATACCACAGAGTGCGAAATGAACCTGACCAACAGCAGCATTTGATGAATCACCTCACCAGAACATTCTTATTGATCCTGGCATTTCATTGAGTCATTTAAACCAATTTCTGGTAATGTCAGTTTTCTATTGATTCTCATATACAGTTAAACCTTGCTTCTCGAACTTGATTCATACCTAAAAGTTGTTTGGAAATCAAAGTCTTTGAAAACTGAAACCTTGTTCTTCTTCCTTCATTCTTCTTCTGCATCGGCAGTGTTCTATTGTTTACAGCTAGGCTGCGATATCAGCTCCTTTCAGCCCAAAATGTCGGATTTAAGCAGACTCAAAATTACTTGCTTTTTATGACATGCTTGTTATGGGACAGTGGGTCTATTCTTTTTTCCCCTTGAACCCACTAAGGAAATTTTCCCGCTATCAGTTATTTTTTAATGGAATCAGTGAACTCAAGTTTGTAGCAGTGATGGGCATGGAACAAAGAATGCTGTTTGCATAGCTATAACATGTGTTCATCACAGTGATAGATTATAGACTTGGAATGCTGACTGTAACAAAGAGTCTGCTTATGACACTTGATTGTATACAGAATGAAGCCATGCGGGTAATTCTGGGATGTACAAGAGATAACCCAGTAGTATGTATGCGATATATACTTGCACTGACTACTATTACAGATAGGTTCAAAGTTCTGCAAGCAAAGTCATATCTAAGAGTAGCCATAGATAAGAAACACCTCCTGCTTGAAGCCTGAAATAGAGCTAAGTGTCACAGATTGAAAAGAGGAAGGTCTTCGATGGCGCAAGCTGAAGACACAATTAGATTTGAGCAGGCTTGACAAATTTGGGCGAGGAGAGGAGTGGGTCAGAGTGTCCAAGCAAGAATCTGACTTGTGTAGAGATCTGATCACATTGGACTGTGAGTGCAGGGATGGGCCTGCAGGTCCTGCAGACTCAGAATCTCATCAAATGATTCCCGACAATCCCCACTCAGGTGATGTGATTATCTACACAAATAGTTTGTCTTGACAGGTAGACAAAGTACATGAGGGTTCTCAGTGAATGGACATTGTCTAGGGCAACAAAGCATGGCATATGATACCACAACATCTAGTTTGAGAATGGAGGTGGAGGCAATATTGCAGCCTTTTGCTGTCTTGAGGACCAGTTGTATGCACATGTCATTATTGTAACTGACTCACTTCTCCAGATTTCCTTAGGTAGCCCATATTTCATTTTCCCCATCTGCCATCTGTTGGAGAGCTGTTCTTGTCAAAGTGAGATTATATATATGATACCACTTATCAAGGGAAAATACCAGGAATTGGGGAGAGAACAAACTAACAGTAAACATCCACCAAACCCCGTCAGCAGACTCAACAGAAAGCAACATACAACAATTTTCCGACTACGAACAGGACACTGCAGGCTCAACTACCAAATGCATAAAATAAAGATTGTACAGTCCCCACAATGTGCCTGTCAAACAGGACCACAAATACCTGAGCACATTTAGCAGACCTGCTCACCCTACCTACAACTTCGAAAAGACACCTGGCCTCAAGAGCAAAGTGTGCAGAGCAAGCTATGGGGACCACGAAGGACCTGCTACTGATGTGTAAGTTCATAGAGGCAACCCACCTGGTGGTCTGATCTGAGCATACGAAACCGAGCGCAAAGAAAAAGAAGAAGAATATGTGATACGTATAATGGTCAATGAAACTAGTAACTGGAACAGTTCTCCACCAGGCGATTCTGTATGATTGCAGATGGCCACGTTTTATTCACACAAACAACAAGAATGATAAAATGAATGAATGACTGTCTCTCAGTGTCTCTCACCCAGTGACTCTCCCATCTACCCAGCAGGCACAATTCCAGCATTGAAAAAGGGGGATAATTGATATTGGCAATGTTAAACAGTTATGTCCACCTAACTCAGGGAAGTGCTGCTGTATCACAACAGGAGCATACACAGGATACAACGTAATAGGCCAAGGGATAGGAACTAGATACAGAGAAACACAAACCTGTGAATGTAGTGCTCTCATACAAGGTGTGGATCAAATAGAACCTGTCTCAATGACATTTTTACAAACATTCTGCTTTTACAGACACTAATAAGAAATCAGCAGTCTGCGTACAAATAAGCCAGATCTGTAAAACAGATGTGCACATAAAACTCAAGTTCTGAAACAAGACCAAATGCAGAAATGACGAACAGCCAGAACTTTCCACCAGAGTTTACAGCCAGTGAATGGTAAGAAGACAAAAGAAGAAGAAGAAGAAGATTCCTGCCTAGGGATGTAGCGTGATAAGGACACTGTACTGTATTTTTACTGAAGGTAAACACTATTGTGTGCATACCAGACTCATAATTACTAAAAATATGATAACTGACTTTTGTGTTTGATCAACTGCTTGTTCAGCTTTAACTTGATAATTGGTAATGTCATTAATGACATTATGTAGTTTGAGGCAGGATCAAATGATATTCATCCCACTGGCTTTATTACAAATGTGTTAGATGTATATTGTAAGAATTAAAGCAGCTGTTAGGAAGCCAGTATGCATCTGAGGTAGTCGGAAGAAGTCTTGAGTAGGCACTCAGATATGAATCTCACTGTTTAAGAAGATGACAGATACGGTCCATGAAGGACACGTGGGGTGGAGTGTGAACCGCATGCTGCATTACAGAGGGGACGGTGATACAATTCTTGTTGCTAACAGTGACCGGTAAATGAATCACCGTGCTACCACTTTGAGATTTTTAGCAAAACGGCGAGCATACAGTGAAAACTTGCTGGATCTTCCAAACACACATAAATTCAAGTCGGGTTTCTTCCTTTCTTTGTGAGTGGTATCCACTGTCTCCCAGAGCTGTGGTTCTTTGTGAGTGGTATCCACTGTCTCCCAGAGCTGTGGTTCTATGTGAGTGGTATCCACTGTCTCCCAGAGCTGTGGTTCTTTGTGAGTGGTATCCACTGTCTCCCAGAGCTGTGGTTCTTTGTGAGTGGTATCCACTGTCTCCCAGAGCTGTGGTTCTATGTGAGTGGTATCCACTGTCTCCCAGAGCTGTGGTTCTGTGTGAGTGGTATCCACTGTCTCCCAGAGCTGTGGTTCTGTGTGAGTGGTATCCACTGTCTCCCAGAGCTGTGGTTCTATGTGAGTGGTATCCACTGTCTCCCAGAGCTGTGGTTCTTTGTGAGTGGTATCCACTGTCTCCCAGAGCTGTGGTTCTATGTGAGTGGTATCCACTGTCTCCCAGAGCTGTGGTTCTTTGTGAGTGGTATCCACTGTCTCCCAGAGCTGTGGTTCTATGTGAGTGGTATCCACTGCCTCCCAGAGCTGTGGTTCTTTGTGAGTGGTATCCACTGTCTCCCAGAGCTGTGGTTCTTTGTGAGTGGTATCCACTGTCTCCCAGAGCTGTGGTTCTATGTGAGTGGTATCCACTGTCTCCCAGAGCTGTGGTTCTTTGTGAGTGGTATCCACTGTCTCCCAGAGCTGTGGAAAGCATATCTGAATGGCCATGTAGCAGCTTATTCTGACAACCATGGGGTCAGTATAAATTGAGCATATGAGATTTTTGTCATGTTTTGTAGTGTCTTAGAACTCTTTGGAGCTTCTGCGGAATCAGCCTTGATAAAATATAATTTTATTGCATTGCGATTGTAAGTTTTTTAAATTGCTGTGCTGTTGTTTGAGAAGGTTGTTCAGCTGCCTGTGTGTTTGAATTGTCTGTTATATGTTAAGTTTGAATTGTCTGTTATATGTTAAGTTTGAATTGTCTGTTATATGTTAAGTTTGAATTGTCTGTTATATGTTAAGTTTGAATTGACTGTTATATGTTAAGTTTGAATTGTCCCTGTGTGGGTTCTTGGGCCTCATTATGTGGAGAGAAAAAAATAGACCCACTGATCCTAATAAGCATGTCATGAGAGTTGACTAATTAGGGATGTTTCCTTCGATGTCAAAGTACATCTGCCAGACTGACAAGGTATCAAAAGACTGCATAAAAGTGTCCCGGATCTGTAAAACTGATGTGCATGCCAAACTCAGTTCTGGAATGAGACTGAACTCCAGAAGCAGACGAACAACAGAACGCCATAGTTTACAGCTGGAGAACACAAAGACCTCGCCTGCACAGTCGTGGCAACAACACAAGCCATGCGGCCGTAAATCCTCCGACCACCTGCTTTTGGGTAGGCAGTGGGTCTATTCTTGTTTCCCCTATAATAGGGCCCCGTAACCCACATGGGGGAGGGGAGGGGGCATTAAATGACAATGAGTCAACTGATGCCAGAAACAGGAGTGTACCGCATGAATGTTGAAACACCAAGAGGTATGGGATGACCAAGAAGAAGATGGCATACTGGGCCACCGAGCGTGCCCTAGCTCGGATACTGCCTTAGTCGAGGTTTTAATTTCACTACAATCGGGTTTCCCCGTACTTGCTCCGTTCCTGTGCTAGTGAAAATCAAAAGAAATGTCCCTCACTGTTGCATTTGAATAACTGGTGAAAAAATCATTCTTAGAACAATCTAGAAATATACGCATGCAATAAATGCATATGGCAGTTGCTAGAGACACCAAAGCCAACAGTCGCCACCAGAAATGCAGTTTGTCGTTGATGGAAGTAGTCGGTCATAAGTTGGCTAAGCACACGTAGAATTATTACATAAGGTATTTCACCAGCTCACATGTAAACGGCTACCAGCCATATGGAATTCCACAACACAACCGCTGCTCAAATGAAAGACATTCAACTTGAAAAATAAAGCTCACAGGGCTGCACCAAGCACTAAAGCTTGGATACTGATCATGTGTTAACGTGCGACAGTGCCTATTGGCACAAAACAGAATATGGACAAATGAAAAAATATTTTGAAGCGATCAGATCAGCAACTGGTAAATCTACGTACATTCCATACCTGACATTTAACTGAACAGGTACAAGAGTAATTGATGCAGTTACGGTTGTAACAAAACCCAGAACAGTTTCTGAAATACTCAGTAAATTCTGGTG